ATTTCAGGAAGAGATAGTATGTTGGGATTAAGTATGTATAATTTTAAAATGCCGTCGCATATCATGGTGGTACCGTGACACACCCAGTTTTACGCCGACGGAAGACGGTTTTTGCTTTCTGTACAAAAGCTGATATTGTGTTAAAAATAAGTGATATAAATGTGGGATTACGCTTCTTAATGATGCCCTCAATGCGAATTGCTTTTTTCCATTTAGCCAAGTCCACAAAACCCGGAAGACCAAAAATGCAAAAATCTCGGGAACTATAAGAGCTAAAAAGATCTATAAGAACTTAGAAATACGTAATTTAGAGATGCCACTGCAGCCACGCCCACTATTACGCCCATAAATATTATAATGAATGTCTTCGTTTGACCTTGTATAACACTTTTTTGTTCATATCTATCGATCTATATCTATTTTTCCAATCAAAACATTGTTTCGCTATTTATGAAGAAAAGTAGGTTACAAGGTCACGGACAGACGGACGGACAGACTGACATGGCTTAATAGACTTCACTATCGGTAATGATCAAGAATATATATGCTTATTAGGGTCGGAAACGCTTCCTCTATGAGTAACGGGTATAAATCGAATCTTATATAATTTCAGATACAAATTATATGCACTTTCCCCATGTGCTGGGCGAAAATGTAATTGGTCTTGTAGTTGTGAAGTGCTTTGACAAATGCGCATGATTTCAGTAGTTTTCGTAATGTAGCGAAGCAAAACTTCTCCTTATGGCGTTCCCTTAGGACGACGTGTAAGTGTGCGAGGGTGCCTGTGTACCTGGATTTGCAATAGTCTCTCTAGTGCGCCTTATTCTTCAAAGCGCAGCGTTAATCATTATGCCGGCTGGCTGACTTGGGTGGTTAGAATGGGCTGAGTCGGGTGGAATAAGTAAAGAAGCAACATGAAATAAAAATTGGTAAAGACACGAAAATACAGCAGTCTATGATGGGTAGCGCAGAATGGTGGTTAGTGAATTGGTCGCTGGGTTTTGGGAACAAGCGTCGAGCGGAAACCGAACATCAAAAAACGAATTTCAGTAGGGAAACAGGGGAAGAAAGAAAATGAAAAGAACGAAAAGAAACGCTATAGTCGAGTGCTGCGACTGTAAGATACCCGTTCCACTTTTATATAACGTTAAAACTTTAATTTCGCTAGTGAAAGACGGCAAAGCGCCACCTTTTGTCATTGTTTAGCATTGTTTACTAACAGATGGTGGGGTCACTTTCATGTAAAACCTCATAGGCCTTATGGCGGGCGTGGCTAGATGGGAAAAAATAAATCGCATTTGGGGCATCATATGAACCTAAATGCTGAATATGAACTTTCTATAACTTGTAGTTACCGAAATATCAGCATTTCTACAAAATGCGAAAACCGTCTTCCTGAGATCTCAGCGTTCATACGGACAGACAGACTTGTCTTATTGGGCTTCGCTATTCATACTGATAAATAATATACATACTTTATAGGGTTGGAAAAGCTTCCTTATACCAGTTTCATACTTTTCAACGAATCTAATATACCCTCCCATTTACCCTTTAACGGGTATATAAACAACCCACGAAACGAACGGAAAATTGCCAAACTAAAACTTTGCTGCAGTCACGGACCAAAAAAAAACAGCAAATGGTGAACGACAAAGCAGGAGATCCTGTTGGGGAAGGTGGTTTTGGTGGCACAGATGTAGTGACACACACACATCCAAACAATACCTATAGCGATAGCTGGAAAAGTTTTGTTCTTTTTGGCTGTTACAACCGTTGCAAAGCACAAAACAATTTTCGAAAATTTTTACAATTTCTAAACTTAAATAAACATCTAGAATAGTTTTATTTTTATAATAACTGCTACGAGTTGTCGTTGCTGGCCAGAGTTCCTGAAAGACTATGCGCCCCTCTGCGAGCGCCCCAGCTATTGGCGTTTTAAATATTCTGTGGAATACACCTGCTAACTGTTCTGCCGACAACTTTGTCTCTCCTCCGGCAGTTTTAATTAAAGCCAAATGATCAGCCACAGCTTATTGCCCCCAAAAAGGGCTGCGAAGCGGAGGCTAGACCAGTTTCGGCAAGGAAACTGTTCTCGCAGTCACGCAATGACACAGAATAATTCAAATGCTGTCAATACACTTTTTAGCGGTAAATTAACAAGCGCAAAACTTAAAGTAATGCGTCGCAACGGACGTAACTTTATTGGGAGTCTGCCCGAGAGTATTGGGCTTAAATTGAAAAACTTTTGCCGCTTGCAAGTTTCTTTAGCTTTAAAATGTTGAGAACTAGTTCTAGGTAAGGATTTTCTGCATCCCTTAAGAAAGCGCGCAAGTTTGCCATACATACACCCACGGCGACTTCTGGATCTCTTGTCAATCCCTCCCTTTCAGATATGAGAACAAACAAGTTCAGAAATCGTTTTAAAATATTCATTTTGCTAGTGGAAATTCACAAGGCGCCACCTATTGTCAGAGAAAGCATGTTGAGTAAATGCCCATGTGAAGCCTTATAACTTAAATTTCTTCATAAATAGCGAAATAATGTTCTGATACGAAAAATCTTTGGCATACTAATTTATAGACACCACAGTTTTCCGCGGTTTGTGAGCGTTAGAGTGGGCGTAACCCGATGTAAACTCGTGCTAAGTTGCAGTGGCATCTCTTAACTACGTATTCTTAAGCCTAGCTTTCTAGCTCTTATAGGTCCCGAGATTTTGGAATTTTTGGTTTTCCGGGTTTTATGGGCGTTAGGCTAGTTGGGAAAAAAACAATTCTCATTTGGGGCATCATAAATAGAGCTACCAACTATAAAAATGCAGTGATGCCTTTCACCTAATGATAATGCACAGCTAATCAGAGTTGCCAACTTTACTCAAATTTCCAAATTTTCAATAAATTTTCATAATATCAATTTTAAGTTGAACAAGGACAACAATTTTGATGAAAATCGGTGTAGCCTTTTACGAGTCCATATATATAGATATAAAAGATATAAGATTGTTTGAATTGGTCAAATAAATTTTACAGATTTTTCCACAAAAACAGAAGAGATTATACAATTTGAAATTTAATAAATAATGCACAAAAATTTACGCGTATGTAAAGATATGAAAGTGCTTATAATTCAGGGTACTTTCCACAAGAGTTTTAAGTCTAAACTTGCATAACGTGCGGGCCAGACAATCAGTCAATTGTTTAAATTCGACATTACATTATACTTTTCCTGCTAATAACCAATGGTTTCCCTATATGCACACCAAACATTATTTGTCGGTCTAAGCTTGGGATGCTCTCTTTACCTGGTGTGTCAGCGTTCTTTAAGATCTAAATAGTCAAGCAGTGGTCCGAGCAGATAAAGTACATACATTTCTTACATTCGAGACACTTAACTATCGTTTTTATTGTTCGTTTTATTATCGTTAAAAAAATAACTGAGCTCGAATTTCGATTGAGATTTCATCCAACATTTAGATTCGTTTGCTGTCAGTTATTGGCAAAATACCTATATAAACATTTCAATTAGTTATTGCCATTTGCAATTACTGTCAAAAACAATACACGGCCGTTGGCTAAATCAGTGTGTGTACGCCATCATACTTTCACCGACTTGGATCAACGACAGCAATAACAGTATGGCCGGGCTCACAGCAGTGAGCATATTGGAGTGCGTTATGCAACAAACAGGAGCGAAGCTTTAGCCAGGGATCCTACCAGATGAGAGACCAAATAAAAGCTTAAAAATTAAGTATGAGGTCAGCCAAGAAAAGCAAAACAAAACGTTTCAAGGCACAAAGGGAACGCAAATGATTGTCGCTTGAAACTCGAGCAACTAACCTCATGACATCAGCTTTTTGGCTTTGCAACTTATTACAATTTTCATAGTAAGAAGGTACCACAACTAGGATGAACGCTTACGAGGGTGTGAGTGTGAAGTGCACACAAATGCGCATATGCAGTGTGGGAGTAGAATGAAAGGGAAGCAAAAACAAAAACAAAAATAATCTAAGGAGGGGAGGTGGTTGGCGAAGGCAAATGCCATGTCCTTCGGAGCTTGTCCTCGCAGTTGCAAAGGCAAAGTCAAAACTGCTGGGGGGTCTTTAGTTTTTATGGCACCATTGTGTCAAGATAATAATATACGTAGATGTGTATACGTGACTGCATTTAAGTGCATAGTTGTGTAGCATACACATTCGTACTGGCCCAGAGAGCACAGATACATAAAAAAGGATTCCTCTGACATGACATTTACTCTCCGAATTACTATAAACTGCTACATTTTGCTACGATGAGAACGAAGGAAGCAAAATAGCAGCAAATAACAACTAGCTGCCACCCACTAGCAAAATACTCACTCGGTTTTATCAATTTAAATGAATTGTACACGAGTGTGCCATAAATTCGGGTTGCATGACATTGGCTAATGTTTGTCCGTTGGACCGCTGGCGTTAATTAAATATCATGACATACTTGCGGGCTGCACTGAAAATCAGAAATGCAAAATCGTCGAGCTCAGAAAGCCACATAGTTCTGTAATTAAAATGAACGAACGCTGTTGCAATTCTGCGGCCAAATTTTATTTTTAATTTATGTATACAGCGCTTCGCAAAATTCGGATTCATTAGCGCTATTTGCGCGTCGAGATGAACTACGTCCAACAGCTGTGCTGGGCCAGCAATATACGCGACGTAAACATAAAATATATGTACAATATAATGCGATATCCATAAAGTTTGGTTTTAAAACAAAGGTCTGCTGTGGAGATACTAATTTTGACAAGACACAAAACTTTATTTGAGTTTTCAGTGCTCTTTGACTGTAGCTCGACGTGAGTTTTGACCAGGCCAATCCCACTTTTACGCACACAAACCGCGGAAAACTGTGGCGTTCATATTATTATATTCAATGTCTTCGTTTGACCATTTTTTGTCAATATCTATTAATTTACTTACTGGGCTCTCTAATACTCATGCTTTCTTGTACTCTACCCTCTGCTTCTTTTAGCTCGTATCGCAGGAAACGGAATAAGAAAAGACAAGGAACAAAAAAATTGAAAACGATTCATCATCTCCACCACGCTCGACTCTGGCATTGTTCTTCACAGAAGGCGGCGAAGAGGTAAAACAGCTACTACAGCAAATTGAATGTAATTTCATAAAAAGGCGAGTGTTCTTTTTCTTGCCAGCCATACAATACAAAATAGATACAGCCATACACGAACTAAATGTGCTAACACCCAGTGACATGAAAAATGATGAAGAGCATTAAGCTTTTGCCCGCACCCAGACGTTAGAGAAAAAAGACCTAAAGAAAATAGTGTGTAAGGAGCTGCAAATTTGCGAGACAAGCGAGGAGAAGGCAGGAGAATCGTAACACGCAGGACAACAGGCAACGTAAGAAAATATAAGCTAAAAGGCAGTGCAGTACATTGGACCAGCGTCATTTATCAGTGACGGATCGCCTGGCATCGCATCGTTCTAACTAGCACCATCAACGCCAACCCAGCGAGGCATATGTACCCGGAGATGCTGGCATTGTATGGTTTCCGCAGCTGAAAGGATTCTGGGAGTTCATTCAAAAAACCATTAACCCTAATAAGCAGCCACAAAAGCCAGCCAGACAATACGCTCAGTCCGCTTATCGATGAACAAGCCCTTATCGCGGCCTAGGACATAGGCTGTGGACAGTAGCCCTAGCCAAGGAGAGGCTGTAACAGGGAAGTCAGAGGCGAGAACAATGTCAATGGTTCCGCCACGGCTTCTGCTGCGTTTTCGGCGGCCCTTGCATCTGATGGAACTCTGCATTCTGCTGCTTTGCTTACCGACGCTGCTTCTGGCGACGACCCTTGAGCCAGGTGCGTTCAAATATTTACTATTATTTGCTACCCTCTAGCTCTAGAATATAATTAGGCCTGTTTAAGCCAAGCGAGTGCTCAGTAAATTTAAACGAAATTTATGCGAGCTGACAAGGCAAATCCGGTCAACTGACACTCCCGATAACCGGCATAAAGAATGCGGCCATTTATTTTAATATTTACAAAAAGCTAGCAAATCGTTTTAAACTGTGCCCTTTGTCACAGTCCATGGGCCCACAACTAAAGCCCCTTAATGTAGGGCGAAAGCCGCCTCGAAACTTTGCCAATTTACGGATTTATGGTGCTAGGAATTTTATTATCGTCTACGTCGCCGCATTTAATTTCACTGGGAGCGTTCTTACCGTGCACCTGCGCCATGAAATTTTGGCTGGAAATAATTTCAGTGATGGGAGAGGCGCGGTGGGTTAATATTATAGGTTGTGTATTCAAATGTTTGCAATTCATTCCGTAAATGGAATGCAGTTGAGCTTGGCGAATTAAATAGAGTTTGCGCCGAACGTAATCAGAGAAGTAAAAGGGGGACACTTTATGCCATTATCCAAATGCAGACAAGCAATTTAAAGCTTTCGGAAATGCCTTAAATGCTTTATCCGCAGCGCCTCGCGCTTGACCTTCCGCTAATTATCTTCAAAAAGGCGGCGCTTCCCAGTCCGAGCCACGCCCAAAGTACTCTCTTTGGTGCCCCCAAGTCTGTTTCCTTCCCCAAACTGTAGCGTACGTCACGTATACGCATCGTTAGAGTGTATAAGTTATGGCCAACACGTAACATTCACAAAAAATAAGGATAATCAAAAATACACAGGGGAGAGATTAGCACTCACCTTGTTGATGGGCGAGGAGTATTTGCTGCCCTTGCGGCTTCGGTTCTAACCTGGGGCGCCCCGTCAAGTTAAAGTCGCCGAGTTCGCCTTGTTGTATTTATTCTAGTTTTACACCTTACATGGCCAGCCCCTCCATTCATGAGGACACCTTATCAAATCGCCCTGTTCGCTCATTACGCAGTCCCCTAAGAAAACTGGGACACCCAAAAATAAACGCCGCTTGTAGGGCAGCGCAAAAATTGGAAATGCATGACTACGAATTGTGGCTAAAAAATTGGAGTTGGAAAAAACTTTTTATATTGACTTTTAAGGTGGAGAGAGCGCAGTGGGCCGGAAAGTGTGGTGTGAAAATATCTAAGGGATTCTTAGAAGAGAATGACAATTTCGTATCACGCAACACTTAAATTATTGGTTCAATTTGCTGCCTGATTTCTTCAGTTCTGTTAGGAGAAATGGTATTAGGTTCCCAAAGTATCATCTGTTGATTACATGGTCCTGATATGCCGGTTGTAAAGGGCTTTCACTGACTCATTTTTTCGGCCTTTTCGACAGCGCAGGACTTGAATAAAACACTACATTAAAAGCAAACGTCAAGCGGGGCAAATTTAGCTTAGAAGGATGTCGGACTATCCGTGTACCAGGCGCTTACCGACCTGCAAATTCCAGCAAAAAGGGGGGCGAACGGCTGACTTTTACCTGTTCATCTACGCTCGTTTCCCTTCTCAAGTGCAAATAAGTTTAAGTCTGTGGGATCGGTATGGTACTCCAAAGAATTCTGTTTTTTTCACAATCTTGCTCAGCGGTTTAAAAATTAAACTCGTAGGCCGTTCGAATAGCGGGAAGAAGATGCGAAATATTTCACGCGCAGGCTGAGACGGGGTTATGGTTGACTGGTTATTGTCATGGGTTATGGGTTACGGGATACGGCTAGCGGCAGACAGGCTCCGGGGAGTAAGCCAAGGAGCTTAAAAACAGCTAAGCACTCCAGCTGTCGGTTGGTAAAGAGCGCCGACATAAGCAGATTTAGGGTTTAACTCACACGCTAGCACTCCCAGTGCAAACATATTGGTTGGGTATTAAAATATTACGTATACGCCGCGCTAAACACCGAGGCGCGGACCAAGGCATGGCGTTGACTGCTGACAGCGACTGAGACAGAAAGATAATAATTTGAAACATGCCAAGGGCGCACAGCTACAGCTATATAGATATACAGCCATATAACTATATCGATACAGCTACAACAAAAACAATAATATCGCCGACAACAAGGAAAATAATGTATCGTGACTGTGGGCCATATAACTTAAGCCGTCGGAGGGGGTGAGCGAGAGATTGACAAGAAATATTTATTATTAATAATAAACATGCGAGAACGCCAGTCGCACTTGCTGACTTTATTATTTATCGCTTTTTAGCAGTTGGAAGGCATGATGACGAACAAAACGAAAACTTATGTATTGCCAGTTCTTGTTACTTTTGTTGCGGCATCCGGTTAGCCCAGAAATGGATTTTAAGCTAAAAGCCAAAGGCCGCAGTGGGTGTGGTGGCCCATTGCCTTGAACCTTCCTTTATCGCTTCTTGCGAAAGTTTTATTACAGTTGCCTACTTTCGAGGGTAATATAACTCACACGCCTAAGCCGCAGGCAGCTGACATGCGCACGTACCGCCTCGTCGGGAGTCAAACAGGATGCGTTGGAATACGCGAACCATTTTATTAGCAGTGCGTGTCCCCATCGCCACGCCTCTGATCACTTGACCTTAGTTCCTCAGCAGTTCCTGGAGAGCACGCTAGAAGTTCGTTGGCTTTGTATCTCGGCCGCTCCATTTAAATTCCTCTTAACATTTCCAATACATTTTCACTTGGCCTATGAGCCATGCATACAAATGCAGAGATAAGGAATGTGCTGTGTGTGTATTCAAGCACTTTATGCCTTCTCTCTTTAACACCAAAGCCGACCTGACTCATCCTAAAGTCGACTTTAGACGATTTGAGTCAAGTGGACTAGTCTTTGTCTGGCCTTGATTTGTGTACCCGAAACCATAAAATAAAAGCATATATATTTTTTAGAAAGTGTGGCCAATAGTGAATAGAAAATGCGGTGCGAGCAGACCATTATACTATATGAAGAATGTTCTAATACTTTATTTTTAATAATCAGCCAAACTGATGTATTCCGTTAATCAACAATGAAACATTAAATAATCATGACCAGACCGGAGTATCTCTTAGGGTTAATATCGTATGTATATCCCGTGACGGAATAAGTTAGCATGAAGTTGGTCAAAGTGAATCAATGCAGCGTGTCTGTGACGTCACTGCGGATTTTGGCTGCATAAATGTCGGACAATCCAAACACACATTTAAGAGCAGTGCTCTCAAAGATAACATACAAATACATACATATATCTTCGGCATCGAACACGCATGCCTAAAATATGAACTATAAAAATTTATGAGGCAATAAAGCTGTGACCTCGCTTCGCTGTGTTTTATAGCCGACAGCTAGAGGTGGGAAATGTGGCAACGCGCTTTTCTACAGTCAACGACATTGCCCATTTTGTGTTTCGATCCCTTTGTCAGTTTTTCAAAAAACAAATTGCACAGCGGCCAAGGGTAAGAGGGACCCCAAAGTAGTTTTTGAATTACGCTTGGTTGACTGATTGGAAAAATGTTCATCTGAGCACTCCTTCACAGCCGTGCACTTGAGCCGTTAATAAGTTAATAATTCACGATCCACACTTACTTCCTAACAGTTAAGCAGCTTTTCTGGAGCTAAAACATGAGTTCAAATGTGTAGAGGGTACATTTTCCTATACAGTAAAGGATTATGTATTTATATCGAATGAACAATATTTGTTATCAGATTACAAAAGAAAACGTTTTTTATAGGGTGTTAAATAAAAGGGCAAACTGGAAACATATAATTAAAAAAAATGCTAAGTTCGTAATTTAAAAGACTTGAGGTTAGATTCTTTTTGCATGATAGCGGTTGTCTTGCCTCATGTGAAGTTGCCTTTAACGGCACCCCACAGAAAGGGTTTAACTTTAAGGGCCTATGGCCGAGGCTGTGGCGAGCGGTTTTATTCTGAAATTGCTTAAATTAGCCTCACATTTCAGAATCTTAATCTTAATCTTAATATTACCGCAGTGTGCCCTCCTACAATTCACAAGACAATGAAAAGGCACTTTTTCGGGGGCATTCACATTACCGAAATCAGTAGGCCCGTCCTTCAAAGGGCCAAGAAATCCACACAAGATCGGATAACTTAGGATAACTACATTTTCCTACCAACAGTGATTCTACGTATCGATTACAATGTTCGACCGTCGACAGCGGTAAATTTTGAACTTGAAAGGCCAGGTTGCTCGATGCCGAGGCCTGTCGCATACCAACATTGACGGCGTACCACCCCAAACACTTTTCCTGATTGCATTCGAATGGCATTAATTGGATTTGGAGGGCAATGTGCGATTGCACTTTCTACTCTTAAATTGCTGTTGTCTAAAGCTTGGGGCTGCCCTTTAATTTCAGATCAAAAGTCAATACTGACGGATAATGACTGGAAGAAGTTATGGATGCGCGGCGGTATAAATGCCGACCTAAAATTGGAAAATAATCTCGACTCGAGCGACTCTCCAATGTTCGAAGACAGTGAGGTAAGTCTCATTGACAGATTGCCCTTGAGGTCCAATGTGAATCCAATGTACTGTTACTCGGTTCAAATTGAAATTGAATCGACTGCAAAAACAAGAGCTAAGCCTTCTTAGCCGTAGTAAGGACAATAGTCGGTTTCGTCAACAAAAAATGTACGGACGATAGCTGGGCCAACTGAGTCAGCGTTCGTCGGTAATACACTAATTACTAGCACGGCGAGTACGAGAGCGATTTGGATCTGGACCCTATTGACGAAACTAACTAATCTTTAGTGCTTATTTATAATTTATTCGCGCTGGCTTCGAATCTAATTATCCAAATTGCTGACTAATTGTGCGACTTCGGCGACTCGGTTCGGTATTAAGCACTAGCTCCTTCGTCGACGTAAAAAATGAACTTTTAACTTTTTTTCTTGTGTTCTTTCTTTCTTTCTATGCTGCTATCTACATTCCTTCTGCGATTCTCCCTTCCCTAATAGCTGATGGCGCACAACACAACCGTTCAGCTGGGTGGCACCGCCTTCCTGGTCTGCAAAGTCTCCGGCGTGGACAGAGTGGGTGTAAATTGGGTTTGTTTTTGTCACTCTAATTGTACCTCGTCGAACCAAGATGTCGTCGACGGCGACGACGTTCTTCTGTTTAGTTCTGTTCTGCCCTCAGTTAGGTTCTGTTCAACGTTCACGCGCTGCTTCTAAACTTAACCATAACACTGTACCACATTCCGCATTGTCCTCTCCTATCCTGTCCTTTCCTCTCCTAAGCCGCATATCCCACTTCCCAAGACCGAATCCACAAGTCCCCGCCATCCAACCTCGCACGACTTGCATGGATAAGTGCTTTATTTAGAGGCTGCAAAATTAAATACCATTCGAGCACAATGCATAGAAATGGGCAGGACCCGCCAGCACAGCTGCTGCTGCAATCCTATATGTATAAAGTATTTTTGTTTTTTTGCACCATTTCCCATTTGCGTTTTCGTTTTCATTTAATTTTCCTGTCTAATTATATGGTATTTTCATTTGCCTTTTTGTTTTACAAAAAGCGGCAAGCAAAAGTTTAATTTGTTTAGCAGTCAAGCACAAACAGCAGCCTAGCAAGAGCTTAATTTGTAGTTGAAAGCAAACGTTTGCAGGATGACTTTAAGCACATTTAGTTTGACCATCGGCTGTGCTAACAAGCAATTAACTCACTCACGCAACTCATATTGCTAAGCTAATATGGCACTTTGCAAATATAGCAAATAATTATGCATCGACTATTAAATAATGATAAGGTTCAAATGATCAGTTCAATGCCTTATATGGAGAATCGACATTTTTTATGATGCGTTTTTAAATATCTAAGAAAAAGTTCACTGCCTTTTATTTTGTTTTCCATGGTTGTTTTTATACCCGTTACTTGTAGAGTAAGAGGGTATATTAGATGCATTGAAAAATAATCAACAGTTAGAAGGAAGCGTTTCCGACCCTATAAAGTATTTTATTCTTGATAAGTATCAAAAGCGAAGTCGACTAAGCCATGTCAGTCTGTCCGTCCGTCCGTGCGTCCAACTGTCCGTCTGTCCGTGTGAACGCTGCGATCTCAGGAATTATAAGAGATATACAGTTAAGATTAAGCATGAAGATTCTTGAGGTCCCTACGCAGCGCACGTTTATTTAGCATCCTGCCACCACCACTCTAACGCCCACATATCACGGAAAACTTAGATCGCTGAAATCTCAGGAATTATTAGATCTAGAAAGCTGAGATTAAGTATGTATAATCTTGAGATGCCCTCGCATCTTATGGTGGTTTTATCCGGCCACACCCACTATTACGCCCATCAAGCTCGAAAGACGGCTTTCGCATTTTGTAGAAAAGAGTATATCTCTATAGCTATAAGTGATAGAAACTTCGGATTAAGCATGTAGGTTTTTATGATGCCCCAAGTGCGAATTGTTTTTTTTTACCATCTAGCCACGCTCACCCTAAAGCCTACAAAACCCGAAAAATCAAAAATACATTAAACCCCTGGAACTGTAAAAGCTATAAAATAAACTTATCTTAGAGATGTCATTGCAACTCGACAATCAGTTACTCAACATGCTTTCTCTGACAATAGGTGGCGCTTTGGGAATTTCCACTAGCAAAAGAAAAATTTCAAAATTGTGTAAAACAGTATCGGGTATGTAACAGGTAGAAGGAAGCGTTTCCGACCCTATAAGGTATATATATTCTTGATCAGGATCAATAACTGAATCGACTTAGCCATGGCCGTCTGTACGTCTAAGTGTCCTGCCGTCCGTCTGTCCGCTGAACGCTGAGATCCTAGGAACTATAAGAGATACAAAGTTGAGAGGAAGCATGAAGATTCTTTATGTGCCTAGGCAGTGCAAGTTAATCCTGTATTTTATTAAAGCTCACATGTGGAGTGACGTCGCAATCATTTACTCAAATTGCTTTCGCTGACAATAGGTGGCGCTTTATTAATTTCCACTAGCAAAATGAATATTATAAAATTGTGTAAAACGGTAACGGGTATCTTATAGTCGCGGCACTCGAATATAGCGTTTCTTCTTGTTTTTTTTAAATTACTTTTCGAAATACATTCGCATGTTTTACTAATTGCTTGAGCCGATCTGCTGTTTGCTGCTGACTGCCAACTTACAGCACTATTAATTATCTTTGTGTATGGTACTCGATTACCAATAATCCCGCTCGTTAATAATGCGGTTTCTACTGTCTTCGTCAACAGAATCAAATATCTTGGATCCGACGCCGGGACTGGCATATCTTGTCGTCAGGGGCCCAGCTCTACACGAACGACGAGCGCTTCGCGATACTGCACACACCGGGCTCCAACATGTGGACGCTGCAGATAAAGTTTGTGCAACGGCGGGATCACGGCATGTATGAGTGCCAGGTGAGTGTGATTTGGTGGTTACCAGAGGGTTGGGCCTGGAATGATGGCTCCATATTTTATGCATGCGGAGCAGTTAAAATAAACTAAAGTGCATTTGCATATGGTCTCATTTTTCCCCTTTGTGGAAACGATGTATTGAGGTTTTCGTGTTTTTGCTTTTCGCTGATGTTACGTCACAGCGATTTTTTCGCATGAGCTTGATTTAATTGTAAAATGCAAATGGACTTCAGTATGCAAAGGATCGATTTAAGGCACCTGTCCCCTGCCTTCTGGGCATCTGTTTTTGGCAGGGCTGCTTCCAGAGCAACTGAAATTCCACTCCGTTTGGTTACGATATGGACGTTGATTGGGATTGGACCTTCGAGCTGAGCGGCTAGCCGAAAAGTCGCCGGCAAATGCAGGAGCCCAGAACGAAAGTCTTGCAAATGCAAATATGGAAGGTCGCCTTTGGGGTCGGGGACAAAGAAAAACAGCTAAGAAGGGGTTTCATAGAAGGGAAGTCAACTAACCGAATAGCAACAAAGTTAGACTCTGCTGAAATGGACACTTGCCAGTGACTTTGTTTGCCACTCTATCTGCTTTGACCAGATGTACTGGCGAAGAGAAGAAGCGGAATGCAATTTCAGGAACGTAGCTTCAATTTCAAAATTGTTTGCATGTAATTTCAATATGAGAAGCCGCATGCCAGAGCAAGCCTGTCAGTCACCGAGTCAATGGGTCGGGCATTGGTAATGTCCCCTCCGGAGACCGGTCTCCGGACTGCGGAATCCGGTCCTCGGACTTCCAGCTCAGAGTCCCTGAATCTAAAGAATACGGAAGTTGAGCAGCAAACGAAAGCTGCATGCCAATATGCGGAAATTATTGTTTTCCTACGCCACTGCAGCACCGGATCCGGAGAACCTGCACCTGCAATGGCTGCTTGCCAGATATTTTGAGAAAGAGTTCTGAGCGTCCCAGCTCCACTTAAACAGAAGCCATTCGTCTTTGTTTCATTTTTGCGTGCCAAGTTGAAATTGTTTGATTTGCATTTCAATGAAAGCACCATTCCTTTCACTTGCAACGTTTTTCGAAACTGTCTGGACTTGGAGTGGGTCTTGCTTGCAGTTTACTGAAGCATTAAGTTTGGAGTTTATTACGAATACCAATCGCAATTGCCACACTTCCTCTTTCCACTTACTCCCCGATTTTCCGTTCTCCTTTTCTTCCGGACTCACTATTACTAATACCACCGCACAGGTCTCAACCCCGACTGGCATCATTTCGCACTTTGTGAATCTTCAAGTGGTCGTGCCGGAGGCGTTCATATTGGGATCCGGGGAATTGCATGTCGACATGGGCTCAACAATCAATTTGGTTTGCATTATTGAAAAGGTAAGTTGAGACGTGAACTGAAAGTCATCTTACCACTGATCCCATTGTCCGCTATCTCCTCTGCGAAACAGAGTCCTACACCACCGCAGTACGTGTACTGGCAGAAGAACGATCGGCTGATCAACTACGTCGACTCCCGGCGGGATATAACCATCGAGACAACCCCGGGACCCCGCACTCAAAGCCGTCTGATCATTCGCGAGCCTCAAATTACCGATTCCGGTAACTACACCTGCTCGGCTAGCAACACGGAGCCGGCGAGTATATACGTCTTTGTATCGAAGGGTGAGTCCTTTTTTTCGCGACTCCCGTTGGTTGACATGCAACCCACCTCCCGTCCAACCGACCGAGGGGCGCTGCCGTCTATCGTACGGCTCGGAACACGGGGATAGTACCGAGTGAAAAATGTTACAAACTACGAAATTAAGTGTGTGCCAAGTGGTTTAGTAAAGGAATTTTTAAGTTGGTAGGAGAAGAGTATTGGATGTAATGAGGTAGATGGCATTGTAACTCGAACATAATACCCTAGCTGGTTCATGAAGGGCAAAGTTCGAGCTGCAATGTCCTAAGGATAAGGGAATAGAGTTTCGAGTGGGCCTAGCGGGCACATTGATGTTTAAGCGACCTATTTAGGGCTTGGCTATCAATATCTCCGCTAATAAGATTGTTAATAAAGACAACGCCAAGCATTGTCCTACGGTTAGCAAGGGTCGGTAAGTTTATAAGTAATAGTCTATTTTTATAAGAGGAAAGATGTAAGTTTGCTTCCCAATTTTGGCAGCGAAGAGCAAATATGAGAACGTTTTTTTGAACACAAGATCCATACTCTAAGATCGGACGAACCAGAAAGATAATTAAAGTTTTAGTTACGTAAGGGTCGTTGAATTCTTTCGACTATCTTTTTATAAAACCTAGCACAAAGATAGAGGCTTTGTTAACCATGGAAAATATGTGGTCGGAAAATGTAAGTTTTGCATCCGATAGGAACCCTAAGTCGTCGACTAGCTTAATTTTATCAAGGGTTACACTTAGTGTATAAGAGGTTATTAAGAGGGTTATTACTTTACACTTTGAGCCGTTAAGATTTAGTAAATTTGGAGAGCACCAAAATTGAAAGGTGTTTAGGTCAGAATGTTGTTTTCCCTGGTAGGACGCATCTTTATATTGAATACAAAGTTTCACATCATCTGCGTACATTAAAATAAAAAACTTTTTTAAAGCAATTGGAAGGTCATTTATGAAGCATAATCCAGACCAGACAAGATATCTTTAAATAAAACACGTTGTGTTCTACCAGTCAGATAACTTTCAACCCACCTAAGAAGATCAAATGGGAAACCGATTAAGCCGAGTTTATGTACAAGAAGTAAGTGATTCACAGAGTTAAAAGCTTTACTAAAGTCAGTGTAGATGACATCTGTCTGAAGACTTTTTCGGAACCCAGTGATGACATAAGATGTTAATTCGATTAAGTTTGTTGTTGTAGACCGTCGTTTCATAAAACCATGCTGATATGGAGATATTACTGATGAAAGTGTCAGTCTATTTTCCCCGATAATCCTTTTCAAATGATGTTTCATGGATTTAACTCTAGCTTCCCAAATACCTCCGAAGTGAGATAAAGTGCCAATCTATCCTATCTTTTTCCAATTGCGCTGCAATCATCGTGTTTTCCTTGATTGCCTTAACTAGCTCTTGGTCTAACTTTTTTGAAGTTCCTACAAAATTTGTCCCTGCTTAGGAGGCCGCGCAGAGGCCGCGCTGCTTGCCTGCGCGGGTGGGTTATCTTTTAACCCCTGCGTCGGCACTCTTAGTGCAGCGTGATATTTTGGGTAGGCTCAAGTGGCCTACACTCACAGATTACAAGTGCTAACACTGCACCCTTGTTGGTTTTCAATAGCAGATCATACCTTATGGCTCTTAATCGGTTTACATTGTGACACTCGAAACATGACGTGCACTGAGCTCATAAATTCTTATATTTTATTAGTGTTCAACTGAACAGAAAGATTCCTTCCAAATAGGGGGAAACGTAGCCGTTTCAAACGAGAGATTAAACAGTTTGAGAAGAGGATTGCACATGGAAGACACACAGTACCTAAGCACGCAGCCGGGAACTCCGTCGGGGCCTGGGGAAAAGGTAGGGGTAACACTCTGAAGATCCTTAAGAATACCACTCTTAGATAGAAAAGGTCGAGTGACGAGGTTCGACTGCGGAACACCGTAGACATAAGGCTGACTAAGGGTTGTCGAAGGTGAATATGTGGTTTGAAAAAACTTGGTGAACATATCGGCTATTGGCTGATCAGTTCTCGCCGATGAGTTTTCAAACGTTGGTGCTGAAGGAAACGGTTTTGGTTTACGTTTAGTCTTAACTAAATTATAAAAATGTTTCGGATCCTGTGTAAATTGGGTCTTACAACGAGCTAGATAATTTTTATAACACTGAGCGTTAAGCACGGTAAAATTTGACCGAGCAACTAAGTATTGAGAGTAACTAAGCGGAGTTCTAGTTTTTAACTATTTTTTCTGAACCCTGAACTCGTAGAGTAAAAGGCTATACTAGATTTGTTGAAAAGTATGTAACAGGTAGAAGGAAACGTTCTCAGGAACAATAAGAGATACAAAGTTGAGATTAGGCATGAAGATTCATGAGGTCCCTATGCAGTGCAGTTTATTTCAGCAATTTATTTTAGCATCAGCAACGCCCACTCTAACGTCCACAAATCGCGGAAAACTAAAATCGCTGAAATCTCAGGAACTGTTAGGCTAAAAAGTTGAAATGAAGTATGTAGAATCTTGAGATCTTATGGTGGTACCATTATCCAGCCACATCCACTCTTACGCCCACCAAGCTTGACAGACGGTTTTCGCATTTTGAAGAAAAACTGATATCTCGGTAACTATAAGTGATAGAAAGTTCGGATTAACCATGTAGGTTTTTATGATGCCCCATATGCGAATTGTGTTTTCCCATCTAGCCACGCCCACCCTAACGCCCTGAAAACCCGAAAAACTAAAAATGCAAAAATCTCGGGAGCTAGTAATGGGGAATAAAAATGCCGAGCATGGTTGTTGGTACACATAATAGCATTCGGCTGTCTGTCACTAAACCAATTCTGGCTCTAATTCAAATTCAAATTTATCCCACTGACACCTGCAGGCGACAATATGGCGGCAATCTCGCGGCGCAAGACCTCCTCGGCCGATCGCTTGACGCACATATTTAGGTCGATGCTGGCGCCCTGTCTTTTGCTGAACACAGTTGTTGTGAGGTAAGTGGTCATATTTGTTATGTAAGTTCCAGTGACACGCACTTCCTATATATCATCCTCTCCACCAGATGTATCTTCCTGACCTAAGCTGACGTCCTCGTGGGCAGCGTTGGTGAGCAAAAGAACGACGACAAAGAAATCCTATTTAAGCTATTTCCGTGTTAGACCTATAGTATGCCGAAACAGAGTTAGTAACTGAATAGCACCAAGTCTAGGATAATTTATAAGCAAATCTCAGTGAAAGCTGAGAACTCAAGTGTAAAAATGAAGAATGTGTTTACATCCAGACAAGTTTAAATAACTATTTTTAGTTGCCATCTCATTTCTGATTGATTTTGTACATGCATTTATGTGTATCGCTCGGTTTACATTCCCCAAACTCCTTAGTTGCCATATCCAATGTTACGTATATGTGTAGTGCAGTTTGGCTGCTCGGTGAGTTGAAAGCTCAAACTTATTTCAAATGCCTTTATTCGACCAAGTTCTTTGCGACCCAGACGTTTTCCACCGGAAACGGAATTTGCATAACTAGCCATTTTGAGTCCATTTAATGAGGTATATAACTGATCAAAAGTAAGCATTAAAAACTATTATAACTGTTACTAATTGCTAATTAAAAAGTAAAAACATACAGCAGCGGGCACGACCAGCCCAAAAGGCAACATTGGCGAAATAAGCGTTAACGAACATAAGAGCGAAAACGTCTGCCTATATTAATTAATTATGTTATTAAGTTTGTAAATAGATTTTATTACAAATGGCAGAGGACGGACACGCACATACAAGCAGACAAAGTCCATGAAAAAATTTAAAAAGTGTAAATAAAAGGAAATTATACAACTTCAACAACATAAACCACACGGCATACTGTTGACTGAAAATGTGCAATATATTGGCCAGGGGCTCTGGCCGGGATGGAAATGAGGACGGTTGACGAGGTCGATTTGGAGAAGAGGGGTGCTAGTATGTTGATGGTTTATGGGCCTTGAAACTGTCAAACTCAAGCTGTAATTAGTTGCAAAAGCATAAAAGAGATAAGTCACCGTTGTTTCGTGGCAGAAACCCAGCTATAGGTTAAAATATAGGACAATGTAAATTCGTGAATCTGCCAAATTATAAAATTGAATAATAAATAATTTACAAGAAGATAGATAAAGAAAGACAATTGAAATCTCCATAGCGTAAGAGCCTCTCGAGCTCCTAAAACTCTCAACTTCGACCTGGCACTGGCACAGAATACTTTCGAAGGTTTCTATCGATGTCGTCGCATTTGATTCCTGGCCATGCTAATAAGCTTAAACATTTCAATCATGAAACCAAAATCTACGTAATGAATTATGTACAACTTCTCGACTGTTTATTATAGTTGGGCTGGCTCTACTAATAGTTGCAGGCTGCTAATACGACAAGATACAATATGAGAGTTTTGCTCGAATCCGAATTGATAAATTGTCAGACATATGCCAGAAATAGGCGGTAGTTGTACATTACAAACCAAAAACTGTTAAGAGATGATAATTGAAGTTTGAATAGATTCACTAGTGCAAAACCGCAGCAAAAATTCAAATCTAACACTAATAAGTATAAGTATTCATAATACAGAACACACTAAAACGACTTGATGTGTCTGCACTTGTAAGCTTATGTCCAAGCCCGTTGGACAATTTGAAAGCTAAATAAACGACGCATTTAGATTGTTTTCAGTGTTAAGCATTTCCACTGTAAATATTTACCGAAAACATACTTACATATATCGCTATTAGTGGCTCATAAATATTTAATAAAAATTACACATGGAAAAAATAACATCCGTAATAGGATATTGTACTCTTGGTGTGAAAACAGAGCAAAAATAAACGAAAAACCGATATAGAATGATTCAAATGTTTTAAAGTTAGATGGTCGAGCAATTAATTGTAAAATTTCAACTTGCAACAATTTAACGAACATGAATTTAATAATAGTGAAGATATTAATAATTCCAAAACAGAGTTACATTGTGGTTGCACGTACAGATAAATAGGATGAGGACAAGAGATTATTCAAATGCATCAATGCATCTGTAACAGTACGAATGCATTAAAATAAATCAAGTGATTATCATGGAAAATAAATGTAATTTAAATATTAACAATGCAATCTAGTCATTAGTTTCTTTCACGCTACAAGGGGTATTGAAGAATATTTCGGTAAGTTTTTGGAAAGTGTCTTAGGAATAAGCAATAAATCAGCAAACTTCCCTGCAAATGACAAATCAATGGCCATTGTGCAGACTGCTCGTCAACACGCCATAATTGGAATCCATTGTTGGCGCAACACACCCAATCGACTGCCTATTTGCCGACGTCGCAAGCTTTTCCGAAACGGCTCGCCAATTACTTTTTGGTATTTTCCCTAAGACTGGCAGTAACATTTTTCCAGCTCCTCGTCGTCGTTCATTTCGCGTCGAACAGGTTGCACTTGAGGACGCCCACGGACACCCGTGCACGCCAAGAAGTTCTTGCTCAAAGTTTGTTGGGTGTGTTTGTGAAATCAAATGCATTGAACGCTGCCGCCAGAGCCAAGGAGCAAACTTTTGTGGCCACCAAAGTTTTTGGCAAATCAAATGAACTCCGTGTAAATTTTCCAAGCACAAGTGCCAGTACGGGCCAGGGCCGATAGGTGGAGGCTCAAAAGAAAACATTGAACTCCAAAAGTAATGGAGAATTTCAACAAGAAATTATAGTGTCCACACACCAAGAGTCCTGCCAAACCATTTCAAGTGGGCCCGAACCGCAGCCAGTACCTCAAGGCGCATTTCTCCATTAAGGCAGCCAAATGGACGAAATTGGCTGTTGACAGTTCCGAGTTGAGTGTGCCGGAGGACTTTGACTTCGGGAGTATGAAAACTTTGCAATTTTTATTTTCGATTTGCAGTATTGATTAAAAAGTTTTGCAGGAAATTCCAAGTCTCAAGCCCTCTCAAAATCGTCGACAGCCTGCTACCTTTGACGAAACTGTGCGAATAAACCGGAGACATGTGTGCTATCCAAGTAAATAAGTTCATACTGGCTCTTTTTGATGCCATATTGCTTAGACACTCAAGTCTCATGGAGTAAAGGGTATACTAGATTCGTTGAAAACTATGTAACTGGTACAAGGAAGCATTTTCGAACCTATAAGGTATTTTTTGATCAGTATCAATAGCGAAGTCGATTAAGCCATGTCCGTCCGTTCGTGCGTCCGTCCGTTTTTTCTGTCTGTCTAACCGTCCGTCCATCTGTTCCACTGTCCGTTTGTCCGTGTGAACGCTGAGATCTCAGGAACTATAAAAGATACAAAGTTAAGATTAAGCATAAGGATTCTTAAGGTCTCTACACAGCGCAAGTTTATTTAGCATCCTGCCACCACCACCCTAACGCCCACATATTACGGAAAACTAAATTTGCTAAATCTGAGGGACTTTTAGAGCTAGAAAGTTGAAATTCAGTATGTAAGTTAACACACCCAGTTCCCAAATTGGGAAACTGCCGCGTTGCGGGCCACATCCGGTGGCCAACACACGGAATAGGGAAACTGCCGACTCTGCACTCCGGGGACAATCACCCGGAGCCCGGCCAGAAGTGGTCAACATGCGCAACGAAGAAACCGCCGACTCTGCACTCTGGGGGCAATCACCCAGAGCCCGATCAGAAGTGGCCAACACGCGCATTAGGGAAATCGTCGACTCCGCACTCTGGAGACAATCCCACGGTTCCCGGCCAGAACACTCGCGGAGCGAGTGATCGTCAGCACCTGGATAAAAACGCTGATCCGGAACTTTGGCGACAGCGCTGCGACCAGACAAAGACTTCTAGCTGCAGCCGGATCGGACATTTAGTTTAGTCTAAGATCGTACTCCGCTGCCATAGCTGTGTAACAAATAATTATTATAAAACCATTTATGCTATCCTTGACCTTAACAGGTTTAGGGGAAATAAATGTGTAACAATTTAATAATGTAAAATCAATTATAACTATCCCTTACCTTAACAGGTTTAGGGGAAATGTGTAATAATTAAATAATTGTAACACACTGTTTATATTATTCTTTACCTTAACAGGTTTAGGTGAAATAAATGAAAGAAACTTAATAAACCCAATCTCTTATAAATGGATCCTTGCCCCAACGGGCTTGAGTGAAAGTAAGAAATAATAATACAATAAAGGACACACTAAATTAACTTGTATAATCTGTGGATGTCACCGCATCTTATATTGGTACTCTCACTCTTACGCCTACCAAGCTCGAAAGACGATTTTTGCTTTTTGTAGAAAGACAGACATCTCGTTAACTATAAGTGATAAAAGTTTGGGAATAAGCGTGCAGTTTCTAATGACGCCCCAAATGCGTATTATTTTTACACCATCTGGCCACGCCCTCTCTAATGCCCTCTCTAGCGAAAAAACAAAAATGTGAAAATCTCGGGAGCTATAAAATCCAGAAAGTTAGGCTTAGGAATACGTATTTAAGAGATATCACTGCAGCTCGACTCGAGTTTTCATCCGTCCACGCCAACTCTAACGCCCACAAACCGCGAAAACTGTGGCGTCCACAGCATTATAACGTGTGTCTTCGTTTGACCTTGTATAACATAATTCTGCCAATATTTATCGAGTTATCGAAGATGTTTCAAATCGGAAAATTAATTCACTATTTATGAAGAAATGTAGGTTATAAGCCCTCACATGGACAGTGACGTCACCATCAGTCGAAACATGTGTAAGCTATCCAGTTAATCAGTTATTTAAAAATATATGTACATCATTTCAATACTTTTAATTTTTTCGAATACTTTACAGCATAAAAAGGCTGGGAAACTTCATGGCAAAGAATAATTATTAATTATTAAATGTGTTAACAGAGTACGGCACTCTAATATTCATTCTTGTTTCAATTTATTAGGGTACAAAAATGACTCGAAAGTATACGTCCACATCAATTAAAGTTAAAAGGGCGAAAACGCACACAATAAATTCACAAATAACGTGCAATAACTGTAATCAACACTCTTGCCAATTCCATGTGGTAAGAGCAAACAACAAAACAGCGAATAGAACGCAAAACAATCATTCAAATTGCGCATACGCTCCATGATCACAAAGTGCAACCCGTGTGCATATACTCTCCTTTGGTACGCAGGGGTTAAGCTGTCATGTTTTCCGCTGACATTAGAAATTATTGTGCATTTTCCAAATCTGTGCCACCCAAGCAGAGCAGAGCTCCGCATATTTCGCACCAGCTGTAATTGATTGGAAAGCTCGGTTCAACTCAGCTTATCTCCGTTCAGCCAAGCCAAGTCTGTCCTTGACCTGCCTCTTGCCTTTCTGTCGACACTTTTATTTGTATTTGCCCCCTGCACTTCGACAGTTACCCTTTCCATGCCCACAGCAATTGTTTAAAAGCTTTTGCAATGTTGTTAGCCACAATGTGGAAAAAGTTTTGCAGGCAGAAAAATGCGCGTATCTCGTATTTAGCACGTGATATTTATTACCTGTCGAGTGCACTCAAATCACTTGCAGTAGTTGTTCGGTCATCGGGCAGGGCATCGACTGGAAGTACAGTCTGGGTGGGGTAGCACACCGCTTTATAAAGGGCAGCAGTTGGCCAGCAAAAGCGTAGCCCTTCAGTGCTTTGATAAGCATAATTGATGATCCAACCCTGCAGAGAATTAAAAGAGAAATAAAAAATGGTAAGTGCAGGAAAGCGGGATAACTGCAGGAGAAGGATAAAAGCGGAAGGTTTTCTCCATTGAGTAAAGCCAAAAACCATTTACGAAGCTGACCATCCAAATAGGAAAAGGAATATTTTTTCACATATTTTATAGCACATTTGTATATTGAGTACCAGTGCTGAAAAGCACTGCCGGGCTATCCGAGGACTTCACTATTACGTTCATGCTGTATTTTACTTAGACACAGTCGCCCCTTTGGTCTCTGCTGCCTTGACCCGATGGGACCACTTGCCTAAGTGAAATATTAATTTAATTTTATGTTCCTGACATAATTATAAAGTTGCTGTCGATAATTTTGTAAGTCGCATCAAATAGAATGTGCTCCTTCCCTCGAAACAAGTGCAAAGACTAAATAACGAAAAAATTGACTTTATCAAGCAAATTATTTTGAAATTGGTTAGCGAAAGTTACGGGTATCTTTCTCGTTTTAAATACAAAACATATTGAGAATATTGTGTACAAAATTTAAGTTATTAAATGAATGCATAAATTTCACTGTAAGTATATAATTTCGTCAATTACTCCTTAAGACGAAAAGTGACCAAAAATATTGTATTCATTGCAAAACAACTAAAAAATGAAAAATTCGTCGAAAAAAAATATTATTTTTGCTATCGACAGATTCTAAGTAGGGTTATGTATATTCATCCACATACACAGACGCTTCAGTCAAGTGCAACATCTATCAGATGCCCGTTACTTTGTTATTCAATTTTAAAATAATAATTTTAACGTTTTATAATTGACGATGATGTCACTGACAATGTTAGGCCTTATAACTTATCTTTATACAGATTGGGTCTTCGCATTCTGTTGGCGTTAAACTGGGCTGGATGAATAAAGGACTTCTGCATGTCTTGAATATGCAGGACAGACAAAGCTAAATCAACTTGGCTAAATTTTCAAATCGGAACATTAATTCGCTATTTAATTTAATTAAGGTTATAAGGCCTCACATGAACAGTAACGTCTCCAGTTAGTAGACACGTTCTTGCAACAAAAGGTGGTGCTTTGTCCATTTCTACTAGTAAAATGAATATTTTAAGATTGTGTAAAACAGTAACGGGTATCGTACAGTCGACTATAGCGTTTCTTCGTGTTTTTTATTGGGTCAAAAAAGCTTTTTCCTACCTGTATATATTTTTCAACGACTCTTTTACACCCTTTACTCGAAAAAATAATATCCTCTATAGTAATAATAGTAGGTCTTATCATAACGAAGAAAACACCAAAGTGTCTTAAAAGTTTCTTAATATGATAATAAAGCGTGTAACTTATTTACTTTTCCTAGACTTTAATTTTTCTAACTCTTCGATTCGGAGTTGAAAAACGGACTGCCATCCTCGAATTCAATAATCAATAATCAAAGCTTAGGAATTTATCAGTGAAA